CAGATGATGATGACGATTATAAATATCAAAAGCAACTATTTTATGGTTATTATTTTCTAGTATAAAGTATTAAATAGTAGAAGTTAGGATAGTTTAGTTTAGTTTCTTGTAAGCCACGGATACAACTTTTGGTGTCTAGCGATACCGGATAGAGTAAAATCTTAGATTTGACTTATTTATAGGTATTTTTAAGATTTGCTTAAAGTTATATTCTTGAGATAGAAATACTATGCATTCTTTTAAAGATTGTCAAAACTCTGCCATAATAATTTTAATACGTACTACTTATATGGTAGTATACGTGTTATAAGTTTTCGATCGAATATATTTGTAAGAATATATAGAATATATATGTAAACAATTTTCTTTGCCAATTTTGCGAACTTCGTTAAATGCACCATTGGATAATTTACTATCCCATTATTAAAATATACATGAAACATATGTAACTCCTATAAAAATATATGTCATGAAGCTTTAAGTTAATGAGAATTATATATTCAATTTATGAGGATAGCGCGCACACCATAGTAATTTTAATACATACCACTTATAGTACATGTGTTATAAATTCTTCTTAAATTCTTCTTCCAAGTTGTGTAGTTAGTACATAGCCACTGTATTTAAGCGTGAATCGTAGTTTATTACTTTTCCGATTTAGAGTTAATTTATCGACAAAGTTTATTTTGAATTTAAGAAATTGAAGCTAATACATTTTTATATAATTTTTGGACACGAATTCGTTTTGGAACTGAAAAGTCAAGTTTTCAACAATTCTTAGCCTCATTATTTTGATTTAGAGTAATGCTTAATGGTGGTGTGCCCAACTTCTATTTATAATGATGAAATGAAATATAAAATTCTATTTAATCTTTTTAAAATTCTCTAGATGTTGGTTTTAAAGTCATATTCTAATATATTTTTGTTGCATTGTTGGCGAATGTGGGTTCCATTGTGAACACAACTTTTTGAAATCTAAAATTTCATATAAAATATAACTCACGATATCTGATGAAATGCTTGAGAGCCATACTAAATTTTTTGCTATCAGTAAACATTCCTCTAAAACAGTGATTTCCAACCTTGTTTTGACTGAAGACCACTATGTTTTTTTTTGTTTTTAGCAACCACTAATTTCAAGAATAATAAACTGTATGATTATTTTAATATGCTCTATGCATCTCTGGGTATATGTATAATGAGCTATATAAGTATATTATATAGGCTATATAAAAGGTATTTAATTGCGTGTTGATATTTTTGTGTTTATTTTCTAATAACTGAGGTCTCAGTGGGCAAACTATAAGCATCATACCCATTCCTGTTAAATTTGATTTACGGACCATTTGTAACCATCTTGCGAACCATCTGTTGGGAACCACTGCTCTAAAACGAAAGGTTCTAGTTCTGTGATGGTTGGTGTTGGTTAAACTTTAGACATATTTCACGTTGACCATATTCAAAGTTTGTATCAATTTAAAATAAGTTAATTCACTTACGATTCATTGTTTTTGAAGAATTATATTAAATATATATCATATATTTGATCACTACGGTATAAATTTTCATTGATTTAACTTTTTTTAATCAAAAGCTAAAGCATAATAGTTTTTCCATTAAAAAATATAAAATTAACATATTGAAATAAGATTTTATTTATACTCTTATAAAATATGATTTTTAACTCTGTAATTAATAATAGGTTCTTAACCTAGTATACGTGTATAACAAAAGTAAGTGAACTGTAATTTTGGATCCCTGATTAGAATATTTACTAAACGTACATTATATGTGGAATAAAGTAATCCTAAAATTTTTTTTATGCTAGTTTAATATACACAGTATATCAACAGTAAATTGTAACAACAAAATTTTTATTTATTTTTAAATAATTGAATTTTTGGTTGATCATAAAGCTGTTCGAGTATTGCCAAATACCTGTTATTAGTCGTCTTAGGATTACTTTTATATATATTAAATTATTCGTATATAATGTCTGAAAACTGTTGTAACATAGTTATAAACAGTTTGTTATAGGAAGTTGGTAAATTAAAACTCACAAAAAACTTTGGTTCGATACAATTAGAAAGGTCTTGAATTTTTTTGGATCGTATAATATTCAATAGACATGGGATCACAAATTCAGATTTTTAAAGTGCACAATCTATTTTTCGAATACAGTGCAGTATAGCTTTAAAAGGACGTCACAATTCATCGGACATAATAATTTTCAAAGACGTCAATATGTTTGACAGTTTTTTCCGATTTATTAGATATTTTCTAAAGAGATTTTTCAAAAAGTAGTGTTCACTCTACAACAATAACAATTCATTTTTATATTATTTTAATTAATTGAATTTTTGGTTGTTTTGAGTATTGCCAAAATCACATCATCAGTAATTTTAGAAATATTTCTTGTATTTAATTATTCGTAAATAATTTTTTGAGACTACAGGAAGTGCCAGGAATCGAACTCTTGCCCTGCCAAATTTGCAGCTCAGAGTCAGGGCTCCTTAACCAACTGAGCCAATGCTGTACTTGATTTTTATGTTTCCAAATTTTTTTGGAGTTTTGTTACTTTGCTGTGAAAATTTTAATTAACAAATTCACTTGCTGTGCTTATATTAGAACGAAATCATAAACCAGCTGTAGATTAATTGAATTAATTAATTAATCCTTATTTTTAATTGTTACATTTTAATACTTTTCTGTTTGTAGAGGCATTATTTTTTACATGATTTTTATTTTATACATTTTTTAGAATCACATTATGGTTTATTATATATATATATATAGTTTTTAGTGTAAAAATATTAAAATGCAAGTTCAATTTAAAATATTTTACACTTATAGATAATATTTTAAAATTTTTAATTTCGTAATTAAAATGTATGTAATTTTTCCCAAAATTTATGTGGACGTTTTTGACATTTAATGTTGCCATTAGGAGACGCATTAACAAGCACTTTTCTGCGTAAATTGCGACTGAAAACTTGATCTATGAAATATTGTCAAAGCCCACATAAAATATTGTAAAAATCAATTAAAAATTAAGCAAAAATAAAAAAATATATATAACAAGTTAACGATAAAAAAGCAATATTTATGCTGTTATTAATAAAAAACGCTTTAAATAAATTTAGCAAATTTGACTATAGACGAGTTTACTTATTTATTATGTTAACATTTAGAAACTAAAGCAAAAATAAATTTATATTTCAATTATGTTGACAAAAATCTGACATATTGTTGGTTATCGTAATAAATATCACAACTTAATAGATTTTAAGTTCATTTTAGATTTTAAGAACATTGATCACTTTTTAAAAGATATACACAAAGCTTGGTACATTGCAGTTCGAAAGCAATGTACCAAGTGATAAAATGAACTTAAATGCCTTCCAATTCAAGTTAATTCCTGTTCTTTACAAAACTTAGAACAAGAACAATATATACATTATACATATTAAATAAAAATGTATATAGATGCGAATACATTGATTGGATACCGAGTTTAATATTAATCGCTCTGAAACTCACCAACATATGTCATTCACTCAACAAAAATGTAGGTAACTTAATACCTACATAAATCATAAATTAAATTTTAAAATAAAAATTTTCGTATTTAAAAATGTTTTCAATATGAAATATGTAAGTGCATTAATAAATTAAACAGAAACATTAAATACGATTAAAATACAAAGTTAAGTTATTCAAGGAATATGACACATACTGAAATATAAATTAGTAAATTTAATTATTTAAGAATTTTAATACATATATATTCACTTAAATACTTTTTTTTATATATTCCGTTTATTTAGTTCGTTACTTAGTTTAATATATAATATCATATTTGATAGAATTTACAGACTACCCTATTATATACTCCCCTATGACGATGACCAATTCCTCTCTTTTTATTTAAATTTTCTGGGGCCAATTTCTATTTATAGCATCTTTTTTTTAACACGGAATAGATTACTCCATATTGTCTAATTTTTCTGCAGGTGTGTTCTTTTGACATGAATGCTTCAATAGAACAACAACAATCATATTTGATAGAATTTACAGACTATCCTATTATATACTCCCCTATGACGATGACCAATTCCTCTCTTTTTATTTAAATTTTCTGGGGCCAATTTCTATTTATCATCACTGTCTAAATCAGTAAATGTATGGAAAAGCAAAAACATCTTCAATAAATTTGTGATTGATAAATATATGTAAATACAAAAAAAATACAATGTAGATACAAATATCTACAAAAATTGTTAGAGGAAAGTAGTGTGTGCCATATGAGTCGACAACAAAAGTCCATAAAATAGCCTGAAAACCACCAGAAAAATCATAAAAATCGAAAGAGAGAAAATGCACTTGCTGTGCTGTTTTTACTACTAACGCATAAACTACAGCTATATGTATTTACTTAACTTGTAGACTTAACGGATCTACTCAGCTTTATCTGGAAGTTTAAATGGTTCAACAAGTACAATGCCAGGATATACACTTTCTAAAGAGTAAAGTGATTATAATGTTGATAATAATGTTTCGATTTTAAAAATATTATATACAGTCCATATATAAATTATATACAGACACACAGTCTGAATTCGTCAGACTATGATTGCAAAATATGTTCAGTGCAGTTTAAAATAATTGTGGACTATCATTTGACGAATTCAACGGAAATATTGAGAAAGATAAATTATATTACTGAATTTAAGAATAATATTGCAGCTTGTAGGCGGTCTATATCCATTTAAGAGTCGGCTCACAATCCGGAAAGCCTGTTTGCGATTAGTTGCAACAAAGGGAAAAGAAAATTATTATTATTTTTATTAATGTTATTAACATATATATTTCACACTTTGATATAAAACTGATTAATATATTAGTTATTTATAACAAACAAAATATTTTATATAATAAATAATATATATTCTTATTTTATATATAAAACTTTATTAATAATTATTTTGCTTTATTTTCAGTTTATGGCAAACGTGTCACTTCGCGTTCCTGTTTTTATGAGGATATGGATGATGCACCAGACAAATGCGCTCGTGAGAATACTTCGTCCTACATTAAAACCATCTTTTGTCAAACGTGTAATACCGATGGATGCAATGGTGCCGCAGCTTATACTCCTTTCACAGCATTGATCATTTTATCTATTATTGCGTTTAAAGTTCTTAATTAAAATTAAGGCATTCGTCTCGATTTTTATAGAAAAATCAACTTCAAGCTTTTTAATATTTATTGAATCAAATTTGGTTTTAAAAATGAAAGATATATATATAGTATGAATAAAAAAGAAAAAAAAATAATTTAATAAAAAATATTTTATAACTGCTCAAATAAAAACAATATATTCCAAAAATGATTTGCTTTAATTTTAAAATTTTATTGAACGAAATACTAGAAATCCAGTTAAATCCAGAAAATGTAACGAACATGCCAAAAAAAAGTTTTAAAATACTTAAGAAGAAGAGCGAGTACAACTTAGTAAGTTTTATAAATGAATATTACGATAGAAGACGTACAATCATGTATAGATATATATTACCTAACTATGTTTAGAAAAAATTTTTGGCATATCATTTCAAACGAAATCAGGTAATGGCTTCGATGAAACAATTTTTAATCTTCAGAATATAAAAAATTGTCAGATTATTAAGAGAAATTAAAGTTATTTTTTTTTGAACAATTTTATTTAATATTATGTATATACTATTATCATTTGCTACTTTAAAAGAGCTATTATTGTTTATATCAACTGACGCCAATTATAAGAATGACACACATCAAATATTATAATTTTAATTGTTTGAAATTTGAAACAATTATTTTAATAATCTTTTCCACAATCTGAATTCCTTTTTAAATTTTTATTCAATATGTTCGATGTGTGGACTCTATTAAATATTCTTGCAAACAATTAATTGAATTGAGTTTATATAGGACATAACTTAACAAGTGGACGTGTCTTAACTTACTAATTGGGTTTCAGGATCCCCGGAGAAGCATGGGTTTTACACAAGATTCCTAAAACTCACTTCGTCGTGGTTGATTTGGCAGATTTGGTTTTATGTATATCCAGCTGTTTTCAAACTTTAATTGACAGTCCTTCACGATATTAATATAGGTGCATACATATGTTTACACTCTGTGAGTTCTATCGAGAAGCCAATTAGTTATTGCAACCGTACAGCAATAGGTCTGACATATTTTTATTTCCTTTCTTTGTCTTCGATAACTGCGATTAACTAACTCATTTTCATTTCCATTTTTTTTTTTTTTTGATTTCGATTATTATTCAGTTTATGTTAGGAAAATCTATTTGCCCAACATATCTATAATATTCTTCTGATACATTTATTTATGAATGATTAAATATTTAATTATATTTGTCTTCTTTTCTGCAAAGTCTTATCTGCGTAAAAAAAGTATTGCTTAGAACTGTTTTCAATAATATAAAATTAAATTATTAACAAATGAAATCTAAATTACAGCCTATTCGCACGGCACCAGTTAATCTTCATTACCTACTGATCCAGTTTGATTTCTTGATGTAGTCCATTGGTTTATTATTTTTAAATCTATTTTAAAAATATATTTAAGTGGCGCTTTAAAAATTTCTATTGAGGTCTAGTTTTTAAAAATACTTTATTATTGTGAAGCTGTAAGTCCTGCATATTGTTTTCAACCCACTAATTGCGGTTTAAATCAATAAAAAATCATGTGAATGCCGATTTAATCTAGCTTTTAGATTATCGAGTAACTATTGTCATATAAATAGATTTATAAATAGACAGTTTCATAGATAAAAAAAGTGATTTCATATTCGCAAATGAATTAATTCAAGTGCATTGGGGAAAAAAAGTTACTTCAAAGAACTTTAAAAAACTTTGAATTAAGGAATAATTTATTTAAAATATTTTTTAAAAAAATTAAAATAAAATTTAAAATTATTTGAACTTATTAAAAATGTTTCGTTTAAATGGGTTTAACAAATTATATAAAATTAAAATATTAAATATTATTAAAAATTATTATATATTAAATAATATATAATATTATTATAACAATAAATAATAATGAATAATATTAAATAATATATTAAGTATATAACTTAATGTATTTGAATGTAATTAAAAGCAAACATTAGCTGAGAAAATATTATTTAAAAAATATACTTAGCATTTTTCGATATGAATCAAAATAGTTATAATTAATCTGAATAATGATCCCATATTATATACATAATTATGAAATTTTTCAAAAATAATTTTTTTTATTAACTCGAGCAGTTTATAAAAATATTTAAAACTAAACAATTATTAAATAAAATAACAATGATAATAATCATTGCAAAATTAAGGTAAATGCAAATAATTATAAAAAAAAAATATTAATTCTAAGAGTAAATGTTGTAATAAAATTGTTTGCACATTTTTGTCTACAAATATATCGTTACATCTATATATATATAATCAATATATAGTACATATATCCATGTATTAAAAACTTTCGATTAAGTCTAGAAATTGCAAATAGTAAGTGTCCTTTTTTTTATAAAAACAATATTATAAAATTATGTTTAAAGAATTTTTTATATATATATATATATATATTATATATTAAATATTTTATAATAATTTTGAAATTCAATTAAGTTAAATTAATCTGCACACAAATAAAATACCAAAACATACAAAACTACATAATCACTTAAAATTAATTCAAAACAAATTTTATATATGTATTTAACAAATAAAATATTTTTGTTTATTTTTAAACAATTTTTGTAATTTAAGTATGAAAATATTGTGCAAAATTTTTATATGAAAAAAATAAAGATTTGAAAAAAAATTGTTTATTTCTCTCTATTGAGGCATAAGCGGATGATTCTTACAGTCTTACAGTCTTTATAATATATTAACCAACATTAACCAGTTTATATAGTTTTATCTTCAAGTTTAATTTGTAGTTTTTAAAAAAAATCTTATGATAATCCCAATATTAGCTTAATATTGGCTAAAGTATACAATATGATCAACTCACTTAAATTCTACGAGCCGTTGTGATACCACACTGAACAGGGTCTCTTAACTGACAGTAAATTATGAAACCATTTCGAGGCATTAACTAAGTGCAGAATGTTATTTCCTTAACGTTTAAATATTTCTGTTAGAGAGCTGAACTGGAGAACCTGGAGAACTGAAGACCTGAAGAGCTGAAGACCTGGAAAGCTACATACTTCGAGAGCTGAAGACCTGGAGAGTTAAAACTTTTACGTTTCAAAGTTGCAGTCATATTATTAGTTTTATAGTGATGATTATAGTGCAAGATGGTTAATACCATTATTAACTTTACAGTTCACCTTAGACATCAGGAATATCATGGTAAACTTCTTTTGGTAACGAAAGACTGTGGGTCAGAGCAAAAGATGAAGCGATTAAAAATCAATTAAATAAAAATCAATTTGTTGGAGTGCACATATATTATGGGATATCACTATAAAGGCAATACAAAAAATTATATTTACGCTGGTTTTCAGTAATACATAACAAGTTTATAAACTGTTAAATTACTTGTCATGTTAACATTATTAATTCCCTGGCAAATATCGTCGCTCTTGACAATTTTAAATATTACACAAATCCTCAACATTAATGTTTTAAAGAAAGTTTTGATTTACTTGTGCTTTGTGAAAGTATAGAACCAATATTTTGCATCAAAAACTTTTTATTGGTTTAAAACAAAATGGAAAAAACATAAAAAAAAAATTTTGCACGACCATTTCCAGGGTTCAATTTTATTTTGCTCAGGTATGAGGATTATTTTCCTAGAGTTGCGATGAGTTCCTGTCCATAAATAAAAATTTTGATTGCATTTTTGGTTGACCATTTACGAAACTTGGACGTGCTCTTCCTATAGTAAATGTATAATTTCAAAACAGTAACAAAACAAAAATTCGATTCTCAAATGACATCTTAAAATATAGTTGCACAAGGAATAAAAAAAATCTGTATGAAAATATGAATTAAAAAAAAGCAACTTCTTTGTGTATATCATTTTGGAAAAAGTTATTGAGGATTTGCTTGGGATTCGATCTTCTCTGTAATATCCAAGTTCTGTTCAACGCCTGCAGTGCCGTTATTACCTGGAACTATACGTGAGTACAATAAAGGAGCTGGATATACACCTGGCATATTGTATGGCGGTAGGTAAGTGAGTGGACCCGGCATGCGAGACGGTACATAGGCCCAATATGGCATTTGATTTGGAGTGTATACAGTAAAACCGGTAATTGCAGTAACTGGAGGTTGTTTTTTAATAGCTGGAGCAATACTTAACTTACGATCACCAACAACAATATACTCGAAAGCATTTTGTAGACGCCTGCATTCTTCAACAGTTTCAAAGGTCACAAATCCGTATCCTTTACAATTGCCAATGTTGTCATAAATGATACGTGCTGACTTGACGCTACCATATATAGAAAATATGCGTGTTAGATCCGCTTCACGTACTTCTCCATCAAGTCCACCTACAAATATACGGTTAGGTATAAGGACACCAACACGATTATCTACTGGGTGGGGAGCAGATGGTAATGAGTTAAGTACTGTAGAGTCAGATGCTTCCATGATACTGATTGATGTTGCAAAACTCAGACAGCTCCTTTATTTAGTATTCCAAATTCCTGTTGACTTATAGTTTTAGTTTTGAACTGACAGAGCCAAAAGTTTGAAAATTTTACTACCAGGAATTTGCCTCTAGAAAATAGAAAAGAAATGTGTACATTTTTAAATTTATAATTTTTTTTTGAATTTAGATTTTCTCATATAATGAAATTTTGACATAAATTTGAATTTTAGTAGCTTTTTTGATTATGATTAACTACTCAAATTAACTCACTCAAACTCAGCTTAAATGAATACCAAGTGACATTATCCAATTATTGCTTAATGTTTTCTATGCCAGATTTAAGATATATATCATTACTATTAAGCAACTTCATTCACAGTCCAACTATACATCATATATTGATAAAAAGTATATAAATTTCTTAAAATATTTTTTGGAGAATACCTAACGTGGATAGCCTCTTATAAAGAAAATACGTAAATAACGAATACCGAACTTAGAAAGCCCATATAAGTAGGGTATAACAACTGCATAGGATAAGGGTAAAGCTAAAAAATGTAGAAACCCTTATTAGAGTACTTAATGTAATCAAATACTAAAAGAAAGTATAAGCCTGTAGAAATATGTAGAGAGTTCTGGAAGTAAATAATAAAATATATTTAACATCGTTTATTAAAGTACATTCCATTTAAAAAGTAAAAGACGCCGCCACAATTTTTTTCTATCAATTGATAGTACTATACTATGTTAATGTCAGATATTTGATGTCTAAACAAATTCATACCTTGTATATTCACAGCAGCTTTTTATACTTTTGAGTGTTCTGGGATGGTACAAAACGGTCGTTGTGCAAGATTTTTTATTTCTTGATGCCACACATCAAAAGGTACCCAGTATATCCAGTCGTTGAACTCAAAGGTCTTTAAAAAGATCTCTATGGTCAATAAGAATTCCAATCCAAACTTTGGAAAAAATATACCAAATATTTCTATCTAATTTTAATTTTATTTGTAAATTTTTGATTATTAAAATTGAAATATTGTAGTTATAAATTTTGAAATTGACATAACTATCTTGAAAAAAGTTGATTTATTTTTCAATACACTTTTACATATAGTTACATGCTCAAACGAATACCACAATAATAATAATAATATCTATTTATTGGTAATGACCGTCAATTTATTTCTGTAAAATTAACTGTGAAGTATTTTCTCGCCTCAACGCATATACTATAGTCGAGACGCGGATTTAGTACAACAAAGCCATGCGGGCAACAATCAGTCGTAGCATTTATACTAGAGTCCGGTAAGACTCTAGTAATATTTTTTTAGAATTCTCATTGCAAACCAGAAATATTAGCGACAGTTAAGGGTATTTAAGGACACAACACTCATAACTAATAGTATAGACGATCAACTTTTTCTTGAAAAAGTTAATGAGAAGAGTAGAGATATAGACCTATACATTAATATTAAAAAAAAAACAAGTACATGATTATCACTAAAAAAAAGACTACCATACAACGATGCTACCATTAAAATTGGAACTGAAGCTATTGAACGAGTAGCTTAGTTTAAATACCTCGATTGCTGGCTGAATGAAGAGTGGACATCAGATCAATAAATCAAATGTTAAATACCTAGAGATGGCTAGAAATTCTTTTCACAAATTCAAAAAAGTGATATGCAATAGCAAGTTCAGCATCAACTTAATGCTATGTCTGTTCCATTCTACTCTATAGCTTGGAATCTTAGACTTCAAAAATGCTAACAATGAACGAAATTGATGCTTCAGAAATGTGGTGCTACAGACGTATTCTGAAGATTCCTTGCACCAACAAAGTTTCAAATGAAGAAGTTCTACCAAGATTAAGAAAAGATAGAAAACTCCAAAAAACTAACAAAATAAGAAAAATGAGGTATTTTGGTTAATCATCCGAGGTCCAAAATATGAATTACTGCAAATGATTGTGGATGGCAGAATCGAAGGCAAACACGGCATTGGAAGAAAACAATGTCTTAGTTGAGGAACATCCAACTTTGGGCTGGGTTAAAAACAATTGGAGACTTGGTACACACTGCTAAAGATAGAGAAAACTTCAAAAACATTATTTCTAACATTGTAACTATATTGTAAGTTATATGATTGTATAACATTCAATTTTTGAATAAACAATTAAAGGAGAAGGGTCGTTATCATATCTAAAGTCAGATGAGACGGTAGATCTTAGTCACATGTGCGAGATAATTTTAAAGACTGGACTATAAAGAGTCGTTGAGCGCTGATAATATAAGCTTATGATGTAATGAACCTGGTAGACACATGTGATATAGATTTTAAAAGAATTTGGACTGTTTTATTCGCTTGAATCCCATTTTCAGCTGTATGTTAATACAGCTATTTATACAAATGATTACTTAAACCATTTAACAAAGTCAGTAGTGTTTTTCTTTAAGTAAAAAATTTATTTGACAACCCTCGTAACAGTATTTCTCACTACTGATCTTATTAAAGTCAATTAATGGCATGCTCGTATATTTCATTCTACAAATAAAATAATACAGTCAGTAAGTTCTAGAAGAGTGCATCAAAAGAGAATTTCCAAAAGAATTGCAGGAAATGCATTTATCTTTTGAACCACACTCCTACACTACTCTGTCCAACTTTTTATTTTAATTTTCTAAATTAATTAACATCCACTCAAAAATTTGAATGGGAATATACTGAAAGGTAGGTGGACACAGAACAGAAAATTTTTTAAATTAATTTATTAATTTTTAAGTGGCCGGTGCTCTTGGGGGAATGTCATGGTTGCGATTTATTAATATATTTTTCCTTTATAAGTTAATTGAGATAAAACTGTCTTAATGTAGTATAGACTGTTTGCACAATATATAAAAAAATATATATATGTTTATAAAGAGGAATGAGTGACATCTCTGCATTTAGTCGCATTAGTTAATGTTGTCAATAGTTTCGAAAACAGTTAGGGAGCTTCACGGAAAAGTCATATCAAGTAACAATGACAAGATTTCTCTATGTTTAAAGAAAATGTATTAACTCCATTCCGGCATAATTTTGTTCTATCTAAAGTTAGTCAAGACGTTCATAGTGAGCAAATGAACAAACGTAGTCATCAAAGAAGAAGTTCGATTTATTAAAGTAAATAAATGTTTCTTTTTATATAATATACTACATTTTTAAAACTAATGTATTATAAGTTAGTGCCACTGATATTAATAATTATCTATCTCAGAAGATAAAAAATGAGTTTGATTACTTTGGGTAAAGGTACTCAAATTTTTTCATTATTGGAGTTGAGGTACTCTTTGGGTAGAAGAAATCGAATTTTTTCTGTGATAGAACACCTTTGAAATTGGAAAGTCAATGCGGGGCTCTAAATTTTATCTTGCAGTTATGTACTATAATAAACCTATCTTTTCAAGAAACGCTGGAAAATATGTTGTAGATTTGAAAATAATGCCAGCACCTATATAATACCCACAAATTGTAATTTAGTGGAGTTTTTAATTTATACGATTTTATTAAGTATAAGATTAAAGTATGGACTGTTTGTTAAGAACGGTAAACCTTAAATTTGGTAAAAGGTTTCTTGTAAATGTTGGGTAATGAGATATTAAATGAGTCACTTTTTCTTCTTTATCCTCTAAGACAGAGTTACTACAATATGCCTTATCGATCATTGGGTATGACCGATATCAGACAACCGGGGAAGAGACCAATTAAGGTGTGTAAAGGTAGTTAAGGTTGTGTAGAGATGAAGTAGTTTATTGACGTTTTCATTTTTCTCTTTTAAGCTACAGATAGGACAGCAGTCGTTGTTGATCACTAAGAAGGATTACAACGTGTAGTTTTTCAATCGACTTTCATATTGCAATACACTTTACATATGAAGTGGGTTTTAATATGTCTGATAAAATTAAAAGTTATATTATTGAATTAATCATAACAAAGTAGAAATAAAAGTTTATCCTTTAACATTGAATAATAACATTCTACTTCCAAGTAAATTGAATTACATTGAAATATTGAAACATTGATTATTGTCGATTTCATTGAATATATATGATATTCATTATTACATTATATTATATAGATTATTAAACTCATCTAATAAATTTGTTTGACGAATTTTTAGCATAATAAAATATCTATAGATGACCTAGATCTTCTTACCAAATAGGTGTGAGTACGAGAAATCGTAATAATTGTTTTATTAGGGTATTTCTTAAGGAATTTTAGTTGTAAATTTGAATAAAAAAAAGTTTTTTCAAATCGGAAATTAATTAAATGTCAAAATTTTTTGTATAAATTAAAAAAAAAAATTTTTTTAATTGAGCAATATTAGCTGAATTTTTAGCATGAGTTTGCAAAATTATATAAACAAATTCATCTCTAACAAGTATAGAGTATAGTGCGTGTCTCACTGGAAGTTCAAAGTAAGAATAATATTTGTGTGCAAAAAACATAATAAATTATAAAAAACGCCATCAATGTTTGCAAAGTAGAATGGTATTAGTTTATAAAAAAATTAATTAATTGTCTTGATACATCAAATAAAGAAACTAAACAATAAAAACAAGATAGATTTTAACATACCTTTAAATCCCGTTAAGCACTGATGAGCCCTGAATTGAAGTTCGATTTATGCTGGCACCGCAGGTCCTTGAGTTGTTTATGTACGTCCAAACAAGTCTTAAGCCCAATACTTAACCTAAGCAACTGTAAAATAATCTAACATATTTTACAGATTGATCAGATTCTCAAATTTTTTTTTAAGTAAAAAATCTAAACGTTTCCTCTTTCTAAATATTTTTATATGAAATGTAAAGTAAATGAAATTTTATAGTAAATATTTTTTTTATGAAAAAGAAAAGCAAACTTGATTAAATTTATTTTCAAAGTGATTATATTCTGTATTCAAGAGTTATATGTAAGTGGTATTAACTTAAGTTATGTCTACTTGGTTCATCATCGTCATTAATTCCTGTACCTCTTATTGGAGCTTAGGGCCTCCTGTCTAACATATCTGCTTAGACAAACATAAGTATCAGTCACGTATCAACGTATTAGACCTATTACACACTAATAAGACAAAAAAAATAGACATTACATGGTTGGTTACTTTGATAATTCCCTTTTATATACAAATAGTGCCACTTTGTCAGCACTCATCCGAAAATAAAGTTTTAGTTATCATTTTTGTAAGATTTATATAGTAGTATGTCTATTTGTAGTAGTACAGATTTTTCACAGGCGGCCGTAGTCTATCATCCATGCAACCAGTGGTCTTGTATCTACTTTCCAGCATTTTGTAATGAAATCAGTATATGTTGTTCTGCCTAGGATGAGACTAATCTTGTTCAGGTTAGTTCCTTCCGCATTCGTTAATGAAATCATTATATGTTGCTCTGCCTAGGATGTGACTGATTTTTTACAGGTTAGTTCTCCCCGCATTTTTTAAAAGAAATCAGTGTATGTTGTTCTGCCTAGGATGAAACTGATTATTTTTAGATTAGTTCACTTGCATTTTTTAATGAAATCAGTATATGTTGCTCTGCCTAAAATGACACTGATTTTTTTCAGGGTAGCTCGTCCCGTCTACAATATTATTTTTTTGGATTTTTTCGACCCAAAGTTAAATATATGGTAAACACAGATTACTAATAGATATTGACTGAATTATCCACTGGTTATCAATTTTTGATTTTGAATTATAGTTAATAAGAGCGAAAAGTACCGCTCTTTGGTTCGAAAAATAGGAATTCGCTTAATTTGAGGTTCTTTTCTTCAGTATTATATCTACTTTTTGCGTTATATTGATCTCTACCATAATTCACCTACAAAATTTTCGCGATGATATAGTAATGTCATTTATTTATATTCATTTTTTCTTCATTTCTTGGTTCGACGGATGGATTGTATGCAAGAATTTTTAATATTTCTGCAGTTCATTAAGAAAAGAGTGAGCAT